CCATACATGCAAACTTGTTTAAAGAATAATTTCAATTTAAATGGTGCGAGATGGCTTGCAGTATTAGTTGTCAGGATACCATATTCAAGTTATTGGGTAATATTTTTAAACTAATTAATAAGGAAGGTAACTTTATTGTTTATTCAACTATAATCCCTTTACGGTGTGAAATCCGCAAACTTAACGCAGTTGTCGGGGGGAAAAAATGTAAACAACTGCGATAGAAAAACGCCCTGGGTGAGAATTAGATCGGAGGTCGCCGTTTGTGATAACAATTAGATAGGAAAGTTGACACATAGGTGTCAAGAATGCACCGTTAATGTCAACATATGACGATCGTGTGACTTCTTCCCCACGACAAGCGAATAAAAGATCGAGCCCCGGAAGTTCAGGGCGATTCGTCATAGGAAGTTATACTTGGTGATAGTGCCACCTCGACTCCCGGTCCTCCATACAGCAAATCCAGCTATAGGGAGAAGATACCGAGGAGTCCTACCTCTTCCATACAGACGACGTTCGCCAGATTCACCATATCTTCATTATGCCGAGAGGTATTTAGGGGATTTAGAATTTGTAAAAACGCTCTCTTTCGAACTAGAAATTAGGTCAGCGACATAGCTACGAAATTCGTCGCCAATTTCTGTAAATATTTTAATATAACCACATTTAACGTTAGTATTCCTGTAACTTAAATTTAGTTATTCAATAAATGCTTTGTTATTTTAGTAACCTGTCACCTATCATTTAAAGGACACCTGCCGACTTACCAACGCACTCCCCACTCGACTTGCCCTCCTAGCCATCCAATGACCCCGAGATCGGGCCTTACTGGCCCGTGCAGAGAAAGTGGTCATTTGGGAATTTACCCCTGACCCACTGCTTATCTCACACTTGTGACATCAGAAACCTTCTCATTTGTTTATGTTTTCGTCTTTCCTTTTTCGCGATATTCGAAAATATAGTTAATATATTTTGTCAAATCGTAATTGGGAGAGACAATGTCATGGTGATAGTTTAAGCAGAGAAAGTGGTCGAAGAATAAGTCGAAATTCATAAAACCTGCAATTTACGGCTAAAATAAACGATAAAAAAGAGGCGAGAAGAACTTTACGCGGCCATTAGATAATCAGTCCTAATGTCCCGACTTTCAAATTTTAAGAAATCTCTATTCTCAGATTACGAGCCATCACGCGAGGGAGTTTGAATTATCCTTAATTCCGGCTATTACCTAGCACTCCCGGAATTCATAAGTGAAGTCTGGAGGGAGTGATGGCCCGGCGAGGGAATGAAGGAGACGTTCATCTCCTCTGACTTGAACTTGGCCCCTAGCAACAACTGGCAGCCAATGAAAAAATAAGAAAGGATCGGATCTCGACCAATCCAAATTACGGATTTCGAGTTTGAAACGCATAAAAGCAACTGAACTTTGAGGTCAAGCCACAAATCGCCGCCATCGCAGGTCGAGAGTTGGCGCCAGTATCAAAGAAATCACTATAGGGTAACGACAACGTGAGTCATCGATATCGTTGAAGTCGACGTTCGAGCCGTTGATCCATCGTGGAGTCTGTGTGTTGGCTGCCGCCGTGTACTACTGCCGTGCCGCCAATCCGACCCTAAGACATTCTCCATTTACTCTAGGTAATCCACTCTATCCGGATCAAAACTTCCCTCTCGATTTGCCATCGGCGGGAGATCCACCACATCCTTGGCACTCATCCAACGTGTGGAGATTCACCAAATCTGTTTCCAAACTTCACCCGCTGAACGATTCTTCATCGGAGCACCAGAATCATCGACTTCGGCTGGGATTCTCATCCAGCTCGAGTATCGCTTGGAATAACTGTAAGAATTTTTATTTTTAAGATAAACACGATTATTTCTGTACATTTGTGAACGCCTCTGTGTCCCCTTATGGCTCCATCCCGGTGTCATCCTGAGCAGAGTAAAAGCGGCAATAAAAATGGCAGAAATGATTTCGTTCTTAATATCCATGTATATAAAATATTTAAATTTCTTGAAACTCCAGTTTTAGAATCTTTAAAGAATAAGATTTCATGTATTATGGATTAATGATAAATAAAAGATAGCATGGGTACAACCCCGCATGAAGTTATTAAAAGAGTTATGGCAACACGAAATTTTAAAATACAATAAAAGAAAAAGAGCAACAAGTGTTCAATATGAATTGAATTTTCTATTTTACAATTCTATTTTCGTTTACATTTTCAAAATAAATATACAAAACACGGTCATTCACGCCCTTTTTGATGTTTTAAACTCAAGTTCTTACACCAGTAACGTGTATAAACTCAATAATATAAATAAGAAAAATTTTAATTAGTTTAAATAGATTAATAAATAGATTAATTATTAGAATTCGAATGAACATGTTAAATTTTAGAATTACGTAGGTAAAAATTAACTGGAAAAAGAAAACTACTTACTTGTAAAAAAATATTTAAATATTTAGAATTTTCATAAAGATTTCAATATACGGAATTGTCTTATGATCTAGTATTTTTTTTCTATTGTATTTTATAATATTCGCTTTCTTGTCTAAAGTTGTATAACAAAAATAACACGACTATTGAATTTTTATTCTCAGAGGATAGTAAGGAAAACGTCATGGTTATCTTTCACTNGTTAATTATACATGTTATTAAATTTATGAATTATAAGATTGAGTTCCCATTTTTAAATTTATTCAACAGAATTTCTATTAAATTACTTGCAAATTTTTGTAGAATTCGTTTGAAATAAATTCTGACTTTTAAATCTCTTAATTAAGATGTATTTCTAGTGTGTATAATTATTAAATATGATTTATGAAATAGAAAATAATAAATTATTATATTTATAAAATTCATCATGAAAAACGTTTTCTGTTATACAGGAAATTAGAAAAATTAGGGAAGTTTATAAATCTTTCTCAATTTTCCTAGGCTTTTCACCCGTTATCTGTGCAAAAGCTTCAACTAAGCGTTGTCGTAAATCTGAGAAATCTTCAACTGTTGTTTGATAAACTTTGTCCTTTATGAAGCCCAATAACACTTAATTGCGTAAAATCAGGAGAGCGGCAAATGCTATGGATATGGATTTCCTCATCATGGACATGTACGAATAACAAAATTTTTTGAGAATCGTATGTACAAATGTTGAGCCATTTCCTACCTGGTGAGCCACACGGCTACTAGAAGTGGCTTTGTGAAATGAAGTAGAGAAGATGAAAATAAAGCTTACAAGAAAAGAATGATTATGAAAGAAGTAAATTGCGATGATTGTTCAATCGCGTATGGTTCTACAGTAGATTAATATACGTACGAACTAAGCAGTTCTTAATTGGTGATGAGGAAAGTAGCTTTGTAATTCTCTCATTCTTGCTCCATGAACTGTGTGCTTTTTAATAAATTATTACAGTTATTGACTAATTAATAAAATTACCAAAAATTGTACTGTCTTCATTATGTGAGACCCGAAAAGCCCCTCGGTCTAAGCTAATAATTTTATTAATTATGTTAAATATTGTCACCAAATATTACTTCATTTTTGGTGAGAAAAATACTGTTTTAACGTGGGAAAAGGCAGATAACAGATGTTACTTCCTTTCACAGAAGAGAACATCCTCTGACTTTCCCTTATCTGGTTAAAATCCAGCTCCAATGGGAAATGGTTACCCTTCATTCATTCCCCTTTCATCCGTTCTCATGAAAGAGTTACTGGCCGATGATTGGTCGGTATTCCGAAGATATACAAGGAACTTGTCAGAATTCGGAGAGTTCAGCGACAGATCCGAAAGCGTCCAAACTCCACATACGTTTCCCTCCTGATGACCAACGTCCTTAGACGAGTCACCTACAGGATAAGTCTAGAGTCTGCACGTAGAAATTATACTTTTATATTTGTGCACATATCGATCTCCCATACGAAGAAGTAAATGAACTTGCATACAGAGAAGAAGACGAACGACATCTGAAACAGGTCGTATGTTTTATAACGATTTTTGAGAGCTCTCTCTCGATCGCGAATAGGGTATAATATAAGCTTAGCGATCTCCCGATTTGTATATTAGTTGTAGTAGTTCTGTCTCTCGTTTATCCACATTTTGTATGAGTTTATTTTCTTGTTTATTAAATTTATTATTTCGTTATTAATCAAAATGTCTCGTACTTGTGTGACCGAATCAGATCACATACGCGTGTTAATCCGCGTATAATAAGATTGATTAACTGGTGTCAAGGAATCCTGACGTAGATCTGGACCTCGAAGTCTAGATCGGCTTCGCGTATTTACCGCCCTCCTATAAGAACTTTTAAGATCGGATCTCGCGATCCGAAACTAAGGAGACAGATTTCGGTTAATCTGTGCCGATTAAGTGTTACACGAGTATTACCTACTCCGTAACCCCGGCTACTCTCACAATTAGATAAGTAATAGTAGAAGGTACAAACGACGATAAAACAGTTTAATTTAAAATTTTCTCTTTGGAATTTATTTAAATTCTGTGAAATAACTAAATCATTAAATTTTACATCTCGAAGAATTATCGTCTTTCAAAATTGACTAAAAACATAAATTCAGATAATGACACTTTTGAGTAGTAAAATTTATTATCTATAAGATTCCGATACAGATAATATATGGAATTATAAATTACAACGAAGAAAAATAACTTAAAAATAACTTTTAAAGAAAGTTTCTTTACTTTTCGAGGAAATATAAACTTGCATATTTATATCTTGGGAAGATTTATTACCAAAAAATATTATTTTTTAAAGCAATATAGAAAGCTTTACCAGTATAGAAAGCAGTATTTTTCACACAAATTATAGCACAAATTTATTTCTAAAACTGAAATTAAATTTCTCGATTTTGAAAAATAAGTTGATGATAAAATATTATTAAAAAATAAATAAGTAATTAGAATACATTGCCTAATTGTGGTCCTGTAAATCTGTTTTTGGTCACGTGTTAATAACTAAAAAATCACGCTACTGAAAAACAAACTAATAAGAAACACAAGTTATTGTTTTTAAAATGTACAGTAATATTTTTATAAAAGATTTTTCTATATTAGAAAATTTCAGATTTGATTTTCTTACTAAACTTATTTAGGTGAGAAGTTTAATTTTTTCCGCCCAAACAGCTGACTTCAATACTTTTATATAAATTCAATTCTATGTAGAAGATCGCAGAACTTCAAAGTAGTAATAATACCAATAAAAAATCAAACATAATTATATGTACAGTACAGTACGAATCATTTAAAAAGGAATTAGTGCAAATTAAAAGCTTACGTAAATACAAGATAAGACATATCTGTGAATATTATTAAAATATGAATGTACTGGTATTTTGCATTAACAGAGTGATAAAAGCCCGACTAATGACATGTTTTCAATAACAGTGCAAATGAATTAAAATATGGATGTCAATCGTCCAACAGTGGGCACTTATTAGAATTATGAAAGCACCGTTCAGAAATTAAAATACCTGAGTTGTTAATTGTTGAAAATTAAATATTTATATAGTTTTCACGGTGTAACACTTTCTGCTTTACGTAAGTGAGTGTTATTTAACTATAAACAATATAATATACAGCACTGTACACGGGGTTGAATTCTCTAGGCTTGCTTAGCATGCGCCGCATGCTTAAGAGAAAGTTTTGACTGCCAATATATACTTTTTATATGAGAACAAATATGCCAATAATAATTTATTCTTATATGTAAACTCTTTTATATTAATTAACAAATACATTATGTATAATATAAATTTATTTCTTCTCACCATATAAAAATATTTCACTTTGTAAAATAAGGTGTTTTTGTCATACAATCTTTTGTATTTATTTTTAACTTGAAATAATTTTTAATGCCTGTTGATAAACACTTCCTTAAAAGAATCTCAACCTTTAAAACCTGTTATAAGTTGTACACTAAAATGTAATATTTTCTCTTTTAATATTTCAATATTTCGGCGTAAATATATTTAATACGGTAATATTCCTATTTTACATTATGCCAATTCTCCACTTAGTTGTAGTAAGTTTCCTTTTACTATTTTTCTCTAATTCTTTCTTGATCTTCACTTTGTGCTCGATTACTGAAATAATATAATATATTTTCATTAATATATCAAATATAGCATAAAATATATTTAATTTCATATAAACCGTCCTCGATATTTAGATAAGTAACTGCATTTAACTGAATACATGTTTATTATAATTTGTAACACGTTGGATATTGTAAATAAGAATAGATATAAAACGAAGAGCAAAACAAATTTAGTGTAAATTTTATTACCGGATATTCCAGACATTTAGCAAAACAGGTGTTATATTTAATTAAGTGTAATATTTAATTGAAATTTTATATCGACCGTGACAAATTCCCGTCCTTTGCGTACATACTGCACTGTTAAAACAGTTATTTATCACAACACGGGCAAGTTTGTACAATATTATGCATTATTAATATGTAATAAAATAACTTCCAAACAAAAGAATATCTCCATATAAATAATTTATTTATTGAAAAATCCATAATAATTTCTTACTTGACGATGGTATCGTTCAAACGAACACTTTTGGTTTCTGGCAAAGGAAAAATGCACATCCCACACAAAATAGTCAATACTCCAACAATAACAAAAGGAATGCTCCAATTAACCTTTTCACTCTGTGAACAATAAAATAATATTGTATTGTATAATACTATAAATACTGTAAGTTAACTAGCATTAAAGGGTGACTTACAAGATCCTTCATAAAAGGAGCAGCAATGGCTCCAATTCTGGCTACTGTAGAACACGATCCAATACCAACGTTACGAACTACAGTCGGATACAATTCTAAAGTAAATCCATATATTGTGTTTGATGCAATCGACATACAAAATCTGCACAACACCAGAAAGGCAATCCTCAACCATATAAGACCTAAAGTAAAAATTGTAAAAAAGTAAACATGGCCGACGGTTATTTACATTTAATAAATATACAATAAATATAAATACAACATTTTCATATTGTTAACAATAAAACTAAATATAATGATTTTTATTTTTGATTTGAGATTTACCGTTTGGGACAACTGCAATGAGCAGCGAAATGATTCCAACCGAAAAATATCCAAACATCAAAATGTGTCTTCTTCCAAAGCGAGGTAAAACGATGTTCAACACTCCAGAAACGCAAGAAGTTAATAAAGAAAATAATACAAAAAGAAGAAAGATGTTTCCTCCTGTGATATCCGCATTCAAAGATATTGAATAGACGTCAAATACTATCACTAACCTGAAAGTAATAAAAGAGGTTCTCTTATAAATGAGAAATTTCTCATTACTTCATGTCATAAATAGTGCTTACCATAAGATATACATGATGAAAGTAATCTTGCGTAACTCTTTCTTTCGGATCAGGTGTAGAAAGTTAAGTTTTCTTTTCTTCTCATTCTATGACAATAAAATCACGTACAATAATGAAAATCGTATTTAGTAAAAAACATTCTTCGTAACTTATATACATTAGTCTTATATTTTTTACAGATATTAAGATTCATTTAAACATTTTAGAGATTCATCATTCAATGTTAAGCTTCAATCACTTATTATAAAATATTAAAATGAATTTACCGTTTTAATTTTCCAATGAAGTTCTTCAATAATTTCGGTTAAATCTTCGACGTGTCTTTTATTTTTATTCATTATGTTTTGTATAACATCTTCGGCTTTACGTAATCTACCGTGAGTTAGCAGCCATCTTGGAGACTCCGGTATCATACTATTCGAAAATCGTATTTTAATAACATAGAGAGATAATTAAAATAAGAAATAAACATTACCTGATGAATATAAGTGACAAGGTTGAAGGAAGAGTGCAGCACAATTGAATATGAGACCAATCTCTCAAGAACCAAGATACTCCGGTAAGTAGAAGTATTCCCAATGAATAAGAGAAACATTGAATTACGATGACCTTTTCTCTGGACGTCGAGCCAACTACTTCCATAACTAAGAACAATGTATTATTAATTTTAAAAAAAACAAAGTGACACTACATTTATGAAAACGTTGTAACAAATGTTTCTATATCATTAGAAGAAAACTTTTATTGAAGTTTTTCTCGTATTGCCAACATACAATTATTATTACGAAATTCAATTGATTACTTACCATACACAAATAACGTTAGATGAGTGGCAGTGACTCCTACAGATAATAAGAAACGAGATGCAGTGAACATCCAATAATAAAGAGAAAATGAGCAAAGAATCCCAAAAGTTATATGAATCACGAGACCCGATAATATTACTCGTTTTCTGCCATACCTGTGTAAATGTAATTAATATGCTAGTTAAAACAATGAAACATTTTAATAAAAATCAAAATGAAAATTTTCACACCTATCGGAAATCTGACCAGATACAACGGCGGATACGAAAAATCCCAGAAAATAAGAAGAGCCAGCAAGTGAACTCAACCAAGAACTTTCACAAACTAAATTCCACTGAAAATTTCAAATAAAATTAAACTTCTAATTACAGTTTAGTAAATTTACTGTATTCTTACCTTTTCGATGACGCTACTTTTATATTGTGAATGATCGTATTCCCACGAATGACATCGAATCTTCGAAAAATTCTTTCCATAATTTTCATCGTTAATATCGTAAGTGACACACCGACTATATGAAGTTTTTCCTTCTCTTGTCTCCAGGGGAGCGCTGATATTTTTCCATTCTTTCACGGTCAAGTTCATATATTTGGGTGTTCTCTCACACCAATAATCCATCTTGTATGCCAAGAAAGGCCAATTCAAATTGTTTATCGCAAAAACAGTAACAGACCACGCTAATATCCCAATTAAAATCTTTTGCCATCTTCCAAATTCACCGATAAGATCTGTAAAGTCTTCAAACTTTTCCTTCGTTTCCTATCACATCATATAGTTAAAGTATAATCGAGATGATACATGCTACACAATGTAGTGTTATTATAAATGAACAATTTTAATCACAATAAATATATTTTTGTAACCCTAATATTGTGTGCTCCATAACGGCTTGACAAAGCCATTTTGAAACATACTGTATACATGTGTTTATATGTTAACTTCTTGGTTTTTAAATAACCTAAACGTTTTCACATCTTATCAGTATGATTTCTGTGATTGCTTCAACAGAATCACCAGAAATCGTTTAACATCTTAACTCTGTAAAATTACTCATATAAACTAGATGAGCTGCGAAATAAAAGACAACGGGAGCAAAGGCAGGCTTTGAATCTACAAAAACAGTAGTAAATACGTAAATAAATGTATCTTTATGTATTGTAAGTTCTAGCAGGTTCTCATTGAAAGAGTTTTCTCCGGTTTGCTTTAGGCTATAACAAGAGAAGGATACATTTGTGATTTAGGTATGACACAATAAATCTATGTAAAAATTTGTAAATAAAATATAATTATTATTTGTTATCTGGTGTTTTATGTTAATTTCATGTCTAATGTATTAATTTATAAATGAGACAGAACAGAAAATTTACTATAATTCTTTAACCCTTTCTCAACTGTATCTTAGTTCTTCGTTAGTGCTTATTCCGATCAGTTCTTCACCGTATGGATCAATAATCAACTGTGCTATTTCTATAGTCAAAACATCCCCAAACCTAGTTTCAAAGTCTATGTGAAGCATATAAATGTTGAACGTAGGTTGATACATCATCATCATGGCAGTTTGTCTGTGACAAATTGGGAAACTGGGAAAATTCACGCCGTCCAATATTTTCCTTCTTTAGTTTAATTCTGACAAGAAAAGCTGAAATGAAGGACTTGTTTTTATCGAATTTAGACTGCCACCTTGTAACTACAAGTTAATCTCATTAAATTTAGTGAAAAATCTGTTAAATAAGCAATGTCTGGTTTCCACTTAATTAAATTTTCTTTTAATATTGGATCTTTATCATCCAAAAACTCTAAAACTATCTCAAAAAGTGAAAAAATCTTGTCAAACATAAGCCTTTTGACAGCCAACGTACTTCAGTGTGAAGGAGCAATCGATGAAAGTTGTCATTTTCTTCACACAGCTGCGCAAATAACCTAGTATTCAACGCTTTACTTCGAATTTTGTTTACTGCGTTTCCCGGATACATTTTGTTTTAAATGGCTTATAAATCCACGAAAGCGCCCAAACATGGCCGGTGCTCTAGCGATTCCATTATATTTGATAAAGGAATTGCTTTTTCCATGAAATAATCTCTCAAAACATTACATATTGATTCGCCTTTAGTGTCTGTTGTCAAAGTTCTCGCAAAGAGCAGTTGATGGATTTCTTGATCCATAACAAAACGAACATAAGCCAATAATAATGCTTCATTACAAGGTAAAGTTGACTCGTCCAGTTGTATAGAGAAATGGGTCGTTTGCAGATAATTACACAAGAATCTTTCAATATCATAACTCATTTCATCAATACGTCTTTGAACTGTGTTGTTACTCAAAGGAATTTTTTGATTATATCATATGCAGGTTTTTGTAGAATAGTTCTTAAAACCTCTTCAACGGCTGGCAAAATTAATTGTTTCCCGATAGTATGCGGTTTTCCAGATTTTGCTATAAGTAGCGAGATATTGTAAGACGCCCGCAAACCATCGTTTTTGTTTGTGACGTCGAAGCGAACATATTATCCATTGTCCATATTATCCATATTATTCATTATCTTGTGAAGTTTTTCTTTAAGTATTTGAAAGTATTTCAAATCTTTGCCTGTTTTATCAGGGTGACACCTTCTCAGATGATCCTCTAGCTTGGATGATTTTATAGCGTCATTGCTCAAAATTTGGTTGCATAGAAGGCACATAGGTCCGACAATGATGGAATGAAGCCAAATTTCAAATAATCAACACTGTGCTGTCTACATATCTTTTTAGATTCGGCCATGTTTAGTATCAGTTATCTGTGGACAAAAATAATTTATTTACTTTTCTCCGGCACTCCCAAACAAGATGACATTGATTCAGTTTAACTTGTATGTACTGTACCTAATTACTTATTTATATTTTTAAAAATACTTGCTTAACACTTTACTTTTTAAAATTCCGAAATCAAATGAGCAGTGTTTGTCTCTGACATTCGTATTTATAATTGACGACGAATTAAGCAAGTCCGTACAAGTCTGCACAAGTCTGGACAAGTCTGGACAAGCATTGCTACTTCACATACTCGCGCAACCTATTGATACTAGTGTAGTAATTATTTATTACTACACTAGTAACTAATTAGTGTACTAATTATTAATAGTAAACTATTCATAGTAAACTAATTATTTTATTTATTACTTGAATGTAGTAAATAAAATAATTGTTAACTATGAAATTTATAATAATTCTTAAACAGTTTGATATATAAGAAAATAATAACTTAAATTTCAATAACAAAACTATAACAATAATTTTATAAGTAAAACGAAATAAGTTGATTGAACTCAAGAGAATATTCTAACAATTAGCATTAATTAAAAATTTTTACTTCATAGATAATTTATACGTCTATTATAAGAAAGTATTATGCAAGTACACAGGTACTGTTTGTGTTATGTGAATTATTCCATTTATGGAAAGCCAAAATTTCGGTCAGGACCTGCTTAAATGGGATCCATTCTCGTAGGCCCCCCCATTTACATCTCATGCACCATCAATTTTTGTTTTCGCTGACATGGAGCCATTGCAATTCGCAGTCGACCATTAGGGATCCATATAGAACACTTTGAGAATCATTGATTTACATGATTAATATATTATCGAATTTTCCTTGCTTTCGCGATTCAATTTAAATTCTATTAATTAAAATACAATAATGAAATAAAGGATACATTTTCCATCTTTATAAGAGGAACTGTGTCAAAATAACTTTATGCATTCCTAATTATAAATACTTTTTATCTATGGAAATTAACTAAATTTTTCAAAAGTAGAGTATAAAAACCTTTCATCAGTTAATGTATTGAAAATATAAAAATAATGTACGAAATCTCAATCGTTATACTGAAGTTTCATATACCAAAATAAAATAAAAATTATAATAAAAATTGAAATAAATTTGCTATTCATAAAGCAAAATATTTATATACATAAGTCTCACCTCAACCTCATCCGATTCTGATCCGAGATTTTTCATTGTAAAGACAGAATTCATTGAATTTATGTCATAGACACCTTTGAAATAAATAGTCTTAATAATGATCTATTTCTCAACTTTGGTTTACACAATAAAAACGATATTTTATTACTCGATATCGCATAATGCTGCGTAATGAACAGAAGTATTGCCAATATAGAAATATAATGTATTATAAAAGTAGGGGAAATACGGACAAAATGACATACGGTTTTATTTTAGGTTTATAACTCTTTATTGGTAAATCAAATCACTGTCATATTCTACACCAATTATCTTTGGTTCTTTAGCTATGAAATATACTAAACATTTACAATATTAAAATAATAGAAAAAAAAATATCGTTAGTTTAATTGAGATTATCCAAAATCCATTTTGTCCATAGTATATGGACATATACTATGGACCATCCATTTTGGAATTCCATTTGGAATTCCATTTTGGATTTCCATTTTGGAATTCCAATGGATTTTCCATTCCTATGGAAAATCCATTTTGTCCATATACTATGGACAAAATGGATTTGTACTTACGTAATGTGTCATTTTGTCCATAGTATATGGACAAAATGACACATTACGTAAGTACAAAATGACATACACGTAAAAACTATAAAATTATTGACAAAGTTCACAAATGAAACGCTTGGTTCTTTTAGAAACGTCAGCGCAAGAAGCGTGAGCCCAACAGAAACAATTTAAGCACCGTAACGAGTCTCCTCCAGGCTTAGATCGGGAAAAAAGATCATTGCAATATATGCGTGGACAGTCTTCATCATCATGAGAGTTATCAGGAAAATTTTATTCTTCAAGTAACTTTTTAGTAATATTTCGTTTCCTTTTCTCTGGCGGAGCTTTGGACACATTTTTTTGATTTAATTGCCTTCATATTAGGAATAGAAGTTAAAACTAAATAGGTTTGTCGAGTCACGTGATTCGTTGCACGTTTTTTGTTATGTGAAAGATAATAAGTTTGTAAATAATATGTAAGAAAGAAAATAAAGTTTTATACTAAAATTTCTTTTAAACAATAATGAAAGACTTTGTTTGGAAGACATTTTTGATAATTAATAAAACGTTAAGAGATTAAGGTAAGTTCCTTGACTAAGCTCTTATGGACTAAATGACAGGTATGTCATTATGTCCGTTGTCTATGTATGTCGTTTTGTCCATATAACGTTATAAATAAACAAAATTATAAAATAAATACAAAGATGTTATTTTTAAGGGAAAAAGTTATTTAAGTGCAACAACAAATTCTTGAGGGTTGAAATAAATGTTACACAAATAGATAAAATAGTGAAAAAATTACCATATATACAAAAAACTTGTTGCAAGGAAAAAAACTCATAACGTATCATTTCTTGTTGTCGGCCATGACACCCGGGCGAATGAGAGGAGTGCGTTCACATTTTGACAGGTTAGTAAGAGCCGCTCGGATAACGTGGTGTCATGGTCAGTTGCGAGCTTGAGACCGCCAAATTCGAATTATGTTGCCTATGTCATTTTGTACGTATTTCCCCTATTTATAATTGAGTATTTTAAGGAAAAATATTGCATTTGTTTCATTTACTGTAAAAAAAATTAAATACACATTACTAACGTGAAAAACAATCGTGTATT